CACTTGTGCTGTAAGTCATTTTCCCCACTGCTCCTCCACTGCCTCACAAATCAAAGTCAAAATCAAAAGCCCAGTGAGATGCCACTTCACACCCAGTAGGATGGCTAAAATAAAAAAGACAGAAAAGAACAAGTGTTGGTGAGGATGTGGAGAAGTTGGAAGCCGCGTGCACAGCTGATGGCAACATACAATGGTACAGCTGCTGTGGAAAACAGTCTGGCAGTTCCTCAAAATGTTAGAGTTACCATATGGCCCAGAAATTCTACTCCTCCATCGTTATAGGCAAGAGAAACGGAAAAACACATCTGTACAAAAACCTGTATGGTAATGTTCATAGTAACTTTATTCAGAAGAGCCAAACAGGGGAATCATCAACCAATGACTGAATAACCAAAATGTGATAAATCCACGCAACAGAGTATTGTCCAGCCATAAAAAGAAATGAAGGATCAATACAATACCTGCTACAACATCGATGAACCTTGAAAATATGCTAAGAAGCCAGACACAAAAGGACACAGATTGTATGATTCCATTTACGTAAAATGTCCAGAAGAGGCAAATCCATAGAGACAGGAAGTAGATTTGTGGTTGCCTGGGGCTGGGGGGGTTGGGAGGGGAGAGGAGTGACTGCTAATGGGTAGAGGGTTTCTTTTTCAGATGACAAAAATGTTCTAAAAATAATTGTGGCGATGGTTTCACAACTCTGTAAACATACTAAAAACCACTTTAAAAAAGGGTGAATTTTATGGTATGCTAATTATATTTCAATAAAGCTATTATTTTAAAAAACCGACTGGCTCAACCATCGCCAGATGGCTAAGGTTGGGACCCATGCCCAGGACCTAACGCCCTGGCAGAAGAGGGAGAAAGGCCCCACTGTAGCTTCTGTAGTGGGGGGTGGCTTTCACCCCCAAGGGCTCACCCAGAACGGGAAAGGATATTCAGATGCTGGGCAGCATGCAGGAAGGAGGCAGAAGGCATTTGGGCAGCCGTCTAGATTCCTAACTGGAGAACTCACCAAGCCTGTTTGTGGACAGGTCTCTAACTTTGCTCCAAGTCACTGCGTCCTGAGCAGATACCCTGTGTTTAATCATTCATTGTTAGAAGAGCGTCTGGATTACACTGACTCATCTTTGAACGCCTCAGTATTTCAGAGCACTACATGTCCACTATCTCTTTATTTTTATATAACCTCAAGTGGCCCAATTTCTGGGCAAGCCAATGGTTGCATGGATGGATATGCAAATTGCCAATTTACTGGTATTTGAGCTGGTGACCATTTTTATGGTTGTAGTTTTAGGCGAGAAAGATATGGACAGGCAGATTGCAATATCTGATTTGTCAAAAAACCCTCTTTTTTCAAGACCTCCCCAGTCTATTATAAGGCCCACACTTCAGGGGACCCCATTAAGCTCCACCAGTGGTATGCTTGTAAATGTTTACCAACCAGCTCTGGGTGGAGGAAGGCCAGGAGGCTCCTGATGAATAGCACTTGCCAATTTCCAGAGTGTCAACATTCCCACCATGCTGATTTCCAACCTTATGATGGACGTGGAGCGGGGAATCCTGGAGACCACAACAGGAGAGCAGGGTTCTGGCCAGAAGTCTGCTAACTGGCTGCATGACTCCTGAGTTTTATTGTCCTTTTCCGCAACAGGAGGGGGGTTTCATACCCTGCAGCACACCCTTTGGCTCCTGTCTCCAAGGAGGGGACTATATTTCATTCTGTGGTTGGAGGGTTCTCTTCAGTACTCTCCCTCTGCTAATGGCCTGCTCCCCAAACACCAAAGCACCACTGTTTATGAAAACAACTTGCCGCTACAAGTTGCTAGGTGAGGACCAAGGCTGCCTAGAAGCAGGAGATGGCCTGAGCTTCCTCACAATTATGTGTTACACTCCAGAGGTGGAAACCTCCTCACCAGCCCTCTCCCCGTGTCACAGTGGATTAAGGGTTGAATTTAGCAGCCCAGGAAAGAGAGGTAGTTGACCTTGTGTGGGTCATAATGAAGCAAGGGATCACCAGGTCCTTTATTCAACAAATACTTTCTGGTCTCTAGCACTTACTATGTGCCAAGCACTGTTCTCAGTCCTTGACAAATACTGTGTTTAAATCTCATGCTAGCTCCATGAGGCAGGTGTTCTTTCCATCCCATTTTACAGATGAGACCCAGAGAGGTTAAGCCACAAGCCATAACTAAATAACTAACTTCTGTAACCCTTTTAACATATCTAGAATAATAACATTCAGAGAGAGCCCAACTTCCCAGTTTCTGGTAACCAGGGATCCAGAGGAACTCTCAAGCTAAAAGCAACTAAAAATGGTAGAAAAAGTATCAAAACATTCTAAAAGCCACCACATGCTGACAAAATAAGAAGGAATAGCTGAAATTGAAGGAAAAAGAGAACCCTGAAAGACAATCCAGCAGAGAAGCCATCTTAACCCGGCAGATTATCTGTCAAATCTCGAATATTTGAACTCTAGCGTGAATGGTTTTTTGAGGCAAGAGGCCAGAAATAAAAGTCCAGGTGGGAGATGAGACTTGCCCCCACAATAATTTGAGACCCTGTTGGTATGCTGGTAAATGTTTGCCAACCAGCTCCGGGTGAGGTTGGGGAGAGGGTCCTGATGTATAGCATTTGTCAATTTCCATAGTGTAAATACTCCTGCTACAGTTGATTTCAAACATCAACATGGGGGTCACTATACACAGAGTTGGGAAGTGCACGCCTGTCAGCCAGTTGCTCACATCATTGATACCCCACCCCACCCCGCCGCCAGAGGGTACAATAAGCAAACCAGTCTAGCTCGATAGGGCGGCCTGTATTTGTATCACTTGGGTGGTCCAGGGATCCGTAAGCCCTGAACTTGGATATAGATAGTCCTGGAATAGCAGTGCCCTCAGGAGCCTGGCAGAAGCAAACATAAATCATCTCTGGAGGAAGGTAACTTCATCCTGGGCCTCAAATTATCCCTATAAATAAATTTTCTCCTCAGCCTGGCTGAACAGAACCAGGCAGATCACAAGGAAATAGGACACCATGAGCAAGAACTAGGAGAAACAGACCCTCAGATACTTCAAATATTAGAATTATCAGACACAGAATGTAAAACAACCATGCTTTGTTGAGAGAAAGGTTAAAAATATCTGCAGGGGACAGGGAACTATGAAAAGTGACACGCTAGATTTATAAAGGCCATTTGTAGAAAGCTTTATAGTTTAATCAGAGATCAAGAACACAAATACCTTCAGGGGCCATCTGGGAATACGAATGAGTTAAGTGACCTGGTGATACTGGAAAGCTTTGTCTGAGGGGCACAGGGCTCCTCACCTCCAGCTGATTGTTACCATGTAGCACCAGGGTACCAGTCTGCAGATCTTCTGCTCTTTCTGGAGAAGCTAGATATTTGGATTTCTTCTTATTGTGGTAAAATACACATAAAACTGACCACTGTAACCATTTTACGGTGTACAATTCAGTGGCATTACGTACATTCAGGATACGTATGATAATCACCATTATCTAGTTCCAGAATTTTCTCACCACCCCCAAAAGAAACCCCACCCCCTTGGAAGTCACTCTCTATTCCCCACCCCCACCCACTGGCAACCACCAATCTGCTTTGTCTCTATGGATTTGCCCAGTCTAGATATCTCATGTAGGTGGACTCATACAATATTTGTCCTTTTGTGACTGGCGTATTTTACCTATCATGTTTTCAAAGTTCATCTATGTTGTGGTATGTGTCAGTACCTCATTCCTTCTTAATACCCAAATAACATTCTATTGTGTGGAAATACATATTTATCCATTCATCAGTTGATATTTGAATTTTGCTATCTTCCTATTTTATTTTTTTAAAGTTTTATTTATTTAAGTAATCTCTAGACCCAATATGGGACTCGAACTCACTACCTGGAGATCAAGAGTTGCATGCTCCTCCTACGGAGCCAACCAGATGCCCCAAATATCTTCCTATTTTTTCAGACATATGTATTCAGAAGTTCTTTGTGGCCCTAAGCCATCAGAGGGCCAACAGTAGAGACCGCTGTTTTATAACCGGCTGTGACATATTTTCTTATATAATGTTCAGAATGACTCGCTGAGGTACTATCTTATTTTTTTGTATTAGGCATCCCATTTCCCCAGTAGCTTTTCTCCCCAAATCCAAAATCTCAGGGGAAACTGCTTGATTCCAGAATGAATGGAAGTCTGGGGTCTAGCTTACGGGTGTAACCTTGAGCTTCCCTGGAACTCAGTTTCCCCACGGATAAAATGGTGTTGGACTGGTTTATCTCCAAGACACTGGGTTTGCTAACAGGGTCACCCTCACTTGCTCTAGCCCCCGTCTGGGCATGAATTAGCCTTGGTCAAGTCGGTTTATCGGCAGCTGAACACAAACATGTGGCCACCTGGGTTATCCTGATAATTGCAGATTCTTCCACAGAGCTGTCCTGAGGCACGATGGAGAAGAAACACCTCAAAAGTCCTCCTTGTAGGCCGGCCAGCCCATTTCACCTGCTAGGGCCATATGCGCGGTAGCAGCACCCGGTCTGAGCCTGGGACTTCGATCAGGAGTGGCTTCGATTTAAATCGTGCTTCTGTGACAGCAACCCCAGAGGGAAAGGAAGAGCCCCAGATGAAAGGCTGATAATCGTAGAGCTGTTCCTTCGCGGAAAGCTATTTAACAGGCAAGGTCGAATGTCTCGTGGTCGCCTCGCCCCTGGCACCTTTCCTCCGATTCTAGTTTTCCAAAAGGACGAGGGAAAGGGAAGCGATGTCCTAGCTCGCGTGTTTGCACAGGGCAGAGGGCCAGCAGAAATCCGTGCTTCCCAACTCTTTCCAAGAGCACCTCGCATCCCGAATCGCCGCCTTCAACTCTGAGAAGTCGGGAGCCCCACAGGAAACTTGCATTATTGCACCCGCTGCCACACACCCGGGGCAGCGGACCAGCCGCATAGCTGGCTCCCCAGGAATGCGCCCCCTCCACGGCCGCCCGCCCCGCCCCGCCGGCGCGCCCTCCCTGGGGGGACCCCGCGGCACCTGCGGCCTCCGAGTGAGTGTCCTCGCGCCCCGCCGCCCACCACCCCCCCTCCGCGCGCCGGGAGCCGGGGGTCGCCGGACGCCCCCGGACGCCTCCCGGGGGAGCGGGGAGTCGCGGGGGGTCGCGGGCGCCTCGCCGGGCGGGCGGGGGCGGCTCGCGGCGCTGGCCGGCGGCGGCGGCGGCGCCCGGAGGCCGCACTACTGGCGGCCGCGGCGGCGCTGCTCCCCCTGCTCGGTGCAGCTGGCGCCCGGCGCTTGCGCACTGGGCCCCGAGCGCGCGGCGGCTCCGGCTTTGTGTGTATGTGTGTGAGTGTGAGTGTGTGTGTGAGAGAGTGTGTGTGTGAGTGTGTGTGAGTGAGTGAGCGGGCGGGCGGGCGCGAGTGTGGCCGCCGCGGAGCGCGAGCAGGACCCGGCGGGCGCGCTCCCCCAGCCTCTCTCTCCCCGCCAGAACCATGTCGGGCAGGTCGGTTCGAGCCGAGACCAGGAGCCGCGCCAAAGATGATATCAAGAGGGTCATGGCGGCTATCGAGAAAGTGCGCAAATGGTAAGCGGAGGCGCCTGCTCGCTCGCCCGCCCGCCCGCCCGGCGCCGCGGCAGCCCCAGACCCCCGGAGCACATACAAAAAGCCGGCGGGTGCCGCGCCGCGGGCCGGCCGCGGGCCCGGGAGTTGGAGCGGCGGGCGGCGCGCGAGCCGGGTCACCTGCGCGAGGAGGGGGCCGCGGCCGCTGCCCAGGTGCGCTCGCGCCTGTCGCCCACCTGGCGCGGTGGCGGCAGCCTGGAGGCGGCGGGGCGCCCCGGGGCCGGGCGGTGGAGCGGCGGGCCGGCCCCGCCGCGGCGCTCGGCTCCCGGGAGGGGGGCTCGGGGCCGGCCCCAGAAGCCATTTCGTTTTGTGCAAGTCACATGAAAGCGGCTTCCCGCGCGCCGGGGCCGCGATGCCGGCGGCGGAGGGGAGAGCGCGAGCTCCATTGTGCAGGCACCGAGCGGGCCGCCGCCGTCTCCGTCTCGTCCCCGCGCGCCCCGGGCGGCGCAGCGCCGGCCCCCCGCGCCCCTGCCCGCGCCGGGCCTCCCTCCCGCCTCCCTCCCCGGCTGGCTGGCTCGCTTGCTCCCCGCCTCCCAGGCCCGGCGCCCTCGAGTCTGCGGAGTTTGCAAAGCGCGAGCCGTTTAAATTTAGCGCTTTGGGCTGCCTGGAGCGAGGGTTCTCGGCGAGGAAGAAAGATGGGGGCGAGCGCGAGGAGGAAGCGCCGGGGCGGCCGCGGGCCCGGGGCGCCCGGCACCCCCGCCCAGCCCGCCCTGGCCGGCAGGCGCGCGCGCGCGGGGGTCGGCGGGCGAATCTTTTTGGCCAGAAACCGGTCCTCGGCCGAGTCTGTCTTTCCCAAAGCAGCGGCTGGTGTTTGTTTTGCCGAGAGAGCCGTTGTTTTTGTTCTCTGCGCGGGGGAGAGGAGATTTGGTGCGGGCCGTGCGTGTTCTTCGAGCTCACGTTGGAGTCTGTCCGGCGTGGCCTTGTTGTAATTAATACGACTGAACGCGTTCGCCGCCTCATCGGGGTCTGGCTCCGAATCAGCCCGCGGGCCAGGCCCCAGGCGCAAGCACCTCCCCAGGTTGGGGCAGAGTTGTTGAAAACTCCCGGCTCCTTGATTTCAACTTTATTATTTTTTTTTCCCACGGCTTCACCAGGGTCAGGGAGGGAGAGGAGCAGCCGCGATGATCTCGAGTGTCAGCCCCCGCGGGCTCGTCCTGACCCTTTTTATTTAAAGACTAAAAACTGGGCAGGCCCCTGGTGGGGTATGTTTATGTTTAGGGGTATCATTTCTTGAGTAACGCCTTGGTCTCTAAAACCCACTGGGGGTGAGCCTCCAGCCTAGCCGTGTCACAAGTTAGCTGTCCTTTCTGAGTCAAACCCAACAAAAAAAGGCAAGAGGAAAATCAATAAAGTCCACGTGCTCCCGGGCCTCCTATGGAAAGGGCTGTCTGCGGATGGCCGGATGCCCGGCCAAGGGCTGGGTTTGGCTCCAGTGGGACAAAGAATTTTCAGAACCGTGAGAAGGGGAGGCCTTCCAAAGTTGAGAGCCGAGTTTTCGGTGCTGTGGGCGCTCCCCGGGGCACGCAGGGTGCCCAGGGCCCAACTGGAGCCATTTAAAAATGGCAGAAACAGCTGCAGGCCAAAACAGACACCGGAAAACAAGCCCACAATCCCCTCTCCTGTGGGATTCCCAGAGGGAAGGCTGGGGTTGTCCCCTGCCTTAGTGCCGGGGCAAAGAAAGAACCAGTGTCTGGGCCTGAGTCCCTTCTGTCAAGGCCTGGAGGTGAGAAAGGGGCTGGGGGCAAGCTGCCTTTCTCTGTTCCAAGAGGCGTGGTGGGGCCTTCTGCTCCAGGTTCCCAGCAGGACAGAGGCTCCGTACCCTGACAGATGCTTCTGTGGGGCCAGTCTGCCAGTGCTCTGCAGGGAGGGCAGATGGACCTATCGGGCTTTCTACCCTGGGGGTGGCAGAACAGGCAGCCTGCCCCCCCCCCCCCTGGCCTGGCCTGTGTTTGGGGGAAGGGGAGAAGAACCGGTTTCCCTCCCTCCCTGTGTTTCGGGAAACAGGTCATGATAAAGACCTCAGGCTTTAGGATCTCCTGGCTGGGCTTCCAGTTCACTTCCTTGCTGTGACCTTGGGCAAACTGCGGAACTTCTTTAACCAGGGCAGCCACAGGTCTGGTGCTGCTTTCTCCCTCCTAGAACAAGATCATGTCTCCAAAAGCACCTATTCCTGCAAACAGAAGCAGTCACTCACGGTGTCCTTATTTAAGGTGGACGCCATAAAGTATGTGTTTTGCTGATTTTCTTTTCTTTTCCTGCCCCTTTTAAGCAAAAAAGACTTCGCCTCATTTTCAGGGTTTCCCCAGCCCTGAGAAGCCAAATCTCACCTTCACTGTACTTTTAGAATAGGCCTTCCAGTCAGTCCTTGAGGCTTTGGGTTGTTTATTAACTGCGTGGCCACCAACCATGCCTTTCACTAGTGGCTGGGACATCGGGTTGCCAGATTTAGCAAATAAAATTACAGGACACCCAGTTAAATTTGAATTTCAGATAAACAATGAAATAACTTTTTTAAAAATAAGCGATATATGTGTATAAATTTTAGTGTAAGTATGTCCCATGCAGTACTTGGGACATACTTATACTAAACTGTTACATATCTGAAATTCAAATTTAATTCATCATCTCATATTTTATCCAGAGAACAGAGGTGTCTGGCATTCCATTTATCCTGTGAGTCTAGGGTGGTATTTCTTCTCAGCCCTGGAGACCCCTAAAAATCCCCCCTCTGCCAACCCTTCCCTTCCCTCGTCCCCAGAAAGAACCAGCAGTCAGCCGTGACCACCCCATCCCTAGCCGCCAGCTGTTTTCCCTCCCTCGTCTGGTGTCCCAGCAAGGCAGGCTGGTAGGCTGTGAGGGAGCCACAAGATGGCTGGACGAAAAACAAAATGGTGGGCCGGGGTTAGGGGCGCAGTGTGGGGTGGAGAAGAGCAAGAGAGGGGGGTCACTGGGTGAGAGACAAAGGCTTGAGCCACAAAGTAGGCTTAGGCCCGGAACCCCTGAGCCCTTGGTCTGAAGGGTCCCTCAGTGAGTTTTTGAAGGAGAGAGGCCTGTTCCCTGGAGACTTCCTACCCATCCCGCCCACCCGTCTTTCGGGCCACACTTCTTTACCTTTGGGGATATCCTCTTGCCAGGTGCAGGGCAGGTCAGGTGAGCCTGGGCCTAGTTAGTAGGACACCAGCCCTAGACAAGGCCTCCTCAGGTGTCAAGGACTAGCCCTGGGAAGTGATACAAAGTGAGGGATTTGCAGTCTCTTTGAGGGAGTCGGCAGGGCCCCCCTTGGGCAGTGACCCCAAGATGGTCTCCTTGGCTAGCCCTTGGACCTGGACCCAGGAAAACATTAAAAATTGACCATAGCCTAGAAAATCTGTGACGGGTGCTTGCAGCTTATATGGGAGCCTATGCTGGGGGCGGGGGAGTGTTTGGGGCTTTATTGCTACAGCTGGGACCCCATTTGCCGTTTTGTCCAGGAGCCCAAGTCTGGAGGGGCAAAACCTTGAGTACTTGAGCCTGGCTGGTTACCGGGGGGCCCACAGGCCCACTTTGTGGCAAGGTGGGGGTGTGCCCCCTGGCTGTGGTGAATCTGGGCCCAGTGCCTCCAGTGGGGTGGGGGGTGAGTGCTGGGGGCTCTGAGAGAGCCCTGACTCCTCACGCACGTGGGCCCCTCGTGGCCACGTCACCGCCTTTGTGAGAGTCATCAGGAATCTGGATTTTTATGTGGAGTCTCACTTTTTTCTTCTTAAAGTTTGGCAATTGATTCAAATTTTAAAAACTAATATGCAGGCTGGACAGAACATACCTGTTGGCCACTTGTTTGTCACCCCAGCTATAAAGTAGTAAGTACAGCTTAATTCCCTCATTGAGGGCCGACGCTGCGTGTTCTGGGATGATGGTTTGGGGAACTAGTAGGAGCTCCATCATTTCCCTGAGCCCATGTGTTGTCTTCCAAGGAGCTGCTGTCTTGAGGAGACACCCAGAGCCCACTGGTCATGTCTGTGAAATCGCTTCCTGTCCTCCCTGGTGCTTGCTCTGCCTCATTACCCGCGTTCCAGGGCCTCGTCTCCCTGCGGGGCTGCTGGGCAGAGGGCAGTCCTGAGGTCCATTCCCGAGGTTGGGTTCTTAATGCTTTGCCCTATGTCCCAGAGCCCCTCAGTGTCCAGGAGAAATGCAACCGAAGAAAGGTTTCTAATCCTTGGGGTGAGTTGGGGGGTACTCAGGCCAAGGGGTCACCAACTGGGGCAAAGGAGGGCGCGAGAACCTGGCTGCAGTCTGCCCGTAGGTTGCCGGGCCCTCAACCACTGTGGGAGGCACGTGCAACTTGAGGGTACATCTTGGCCGGCATGCAGGCTGCAAAGCCCAGACCTAGCACGCTTTCTGCCTTGACACACGTCCTGTGTTTTGCACGTCAGTTACTTTTGTTTTTGTTTTTGTTTTTAACACAACCAAACCTTGGATTTGCTGACCTACTGTGGCCCTGGCCGAGGAAGCCGGTTGAGGGACTGTGAGTAGTGAGCGCCTTCGGCCGTTTGCGTGGGATGCTAGCAGTTTGTGTTTTTGTGTCCAGCTTCCGTAACCGATGTGCGCTGTGGAATGATTTCTTAGTTTTTCACAGGAGACAGAATAGCAGAGAGTGGGCTCTAGTCGGAGCCTGTGTCCAGTCCTCGCTCTGCCTTGGGCTAGCTGTGTGACCATGAACTAGTTATATAACCTTTCTGGACCTCTTGTTTCCCACCCATAAAATGGAATGACAGTGATTCCCCTCTCATAGGCTTATTGGGCAGTCTTTGGGGGAGAGGGATTGATTGTAAATAAAGCACTTGGCAGATATAAGCCTTCACACACAATGACTATTAGGATTGTTGCTTTGTCACCAAGGTGGTTCCTTGGAATGCCCCGTCCCTTCCAGATACCTTCTGATTATTCAGAATAGAGGTGGGGAAGGACACGGATTATGGGTTGTCCATTCTGCCTCCAAGATGTAGGAGATGGGTGGGTGGTGACTTAGATATGTGCCTTCATTTTATTCTTTCTGGGCTAAAAGGGGGCAGGGATGGGGTTGGGAGAAGCTGCTCCTAAAGCAGTGCGGCGTGGAGGCTTTGAATACTGGTCCCGGGGAGACAGACTTCACCTTCTCATGCCTCAGTTTCTTTATCTGTCAAATGGGGAGGGTGACCGTTCCTGCCACACAAGGTTATGGGAAGATTAGAGCAAATGTGTATGGGAAGTCAGCACATTGAAGACACTAGAAATAGTCCTAAAATAAGTAAAAGCCAGACTGTGGCTTCCTCCAGCAGGGAATCTGTAGGACCTGAACAGGCACAGTTTGGGGAATGGAGATTTCTGTGGTTTGGGTTAGCCGGTTTTGAGTGTGCTCCGGTGCCCCGAACCCTCTGTGGCAATTGAGTGCCAGGTGGCTGTAATGTGTCCCACCAGCCCATGAAGGCCACCCACCCATGGAGGGAAGGCTGGTCAGGTACCTGGTAGCTCACAAACAGAGGTGCTCTTGCCACACGTAAACTTTGGTTCTGGTGGAACCCTTGTCACTAAACTTGTTGGGGGCTTCTGGCAGCTCTGTCACCTGTCCTAGGTGTGTATCTGGCCCCGTCATCCCACGGTGGGTTCCTTGAATTAAGGAGCCGAGAGAGATCCTTTGTGACCTCCCACTTCTCCTGAGATGGCAGAGCCTGGTGCCAGGAATGGAGACCCTAGAGTCCAAACTGCTTGGTTTGGAGTCCCAGCTTTCTTTCCGGGTGATTCCTCCGAGCCTCGATACTGTCAGGTGCACAGCCTCTGGCTCTCATTCCCAGTGTTAGGGGCAAGAAGTGACTTGACCTGACCTGTAGCCTGCAGGGGTCAGGGACCAGAGTTTGGAGGCTGTGGCAGGAATCTAGGGAATGATGGTGGCTTGGAATACAGTGGTGTGGAGGAGAGGGTGTTAATTTTTATCCTTAATGAAAACCGGTCACCCCGTTTCCTTCTCCTGGCTTGTGATTTTTGTCCTTACCCATAAACCTGCTTCTAGTAGCGGGGGTCCCTGGATGCGGTCCCCCAGGAGCTTAGGCTGTGGTGGGGGCAGGGGCGGGGACAGTGTGCAGATGTGGGTCTTAGGAGGGAAGACCCAGAAACACATGCCTGGCTTGGAGCCGGGATGTGGGGTCCTCAGGGCATCCGTCTGGCTGGCTGCTGTCCAGGCTGTGCTTCCCTGTTGAGGCCTGGGGACCACCCTTGGGGCCAAGGCCACTGGGCATCCAGGTTTGTTCTTGCTCCCCCACCCCTGTTCCCCTTGCCCCCTCCCCCCCCCCCGACTGCTCCAAATGGCGTTTGCCCCGAAGAGCACTGGGTGGTTATCACGCTGTCTTCTCCTGCCTTCCTTCCTCTGACCTCAGAGGCACTGCGGGGAGGACAGGGTGAGTCCCTGGGTGCCCTTGGTGAAGCCCCCTCAACCCCTGAGGAGGAAATGCCCTGCTGGCCTAAAGCCCTCCCTGCTGCCCAAGGGGTTGGGGTGGCCCAGTTCGCTGGCTCCGTGGAGTTGGCAGCGGTGTGAGGCACAAAAGCTGGAGGACCCTGGGGCACAGTTCTCTTCATCCAGAGCAATCCTCTTTAATGGCAGCCCCTCTGTCCGCCCAGTCACACCAGGCACATCCTTCAGGGCATGGGGAGGCTTTTCACACATGCTGTCTCATGTAACCCTCGTGACAGCCCAGAGACTGATGACCCTGTGTGGTCTAACAGATGGGGAGACAGAGGTGTAGAATGGTGAATGACTTGCCCAGCAGCCCCCAGCTATTAGATCTGGGGTGATCTGGAGCTCCTTCCCTTGACCCCAAGCTGAGCAGCCCCTGTGTCGCAGCTACTCCAAGGCCCGTGTCCACCACGAGGGGTGCGCAGGGTTCTGCCCCAGAAACCCCCTGGTAACGAGCTCTTCCTCATCTTCTGCAGGGAGAAGAAGTGGGTGACTGTGGGTGACACATCCCTGCGAATCTATAAGTGGGTCCCTGTGACAGAGCCAAAGGTGGACGATGTGAGTATGTGGGCCAAACCCCTGGGGTAGGGCCATCCATCCGTGCTCCCCGCACCGCAGGTAGAAGGTGCTGTCCACCACTGCCCACCAGTGTGCGACCCTGGGGCCAAGGCCACCTGGGAAGCAGAAGGACCCAGCTTATGGCTGGAGAGGCTGCTGCACCTGGGTCCTCCTGCCCACTCATAGTCTAGCCCCAGAGTTTGGCCCTCTGGGAGCTGGGAAGTGTCCCCTGCAAGTCATCTCTTCTGAGCTGAGAGCCCTATAGTTTGCCAGTGGGGACATGCCTTAGTGCCGAGCTGTCCCCTCCCTGGGGCCCTGGGCACCACGGTTTGGGTGTAGCGTACACCCAGACAAGCAGACCCTCCCCCGTTGTTGTCACTGCTCCGGAGCCCCCAACCATCTGCCAGGTCTGTCGAGTTGACCCATTATCCCCTTTGTACAAGTGAGGACACAGGCTCAGAGAGGTGAAGCCACTTCCCCGGAATCACACAGCAAGTGCCGGGTCTTATTGACTCCAGAACACATGCTCTCTTTGCTGTTGGAGAGCCTTCTGGTGGTTGGAGCTGCAGGCCACCCCAGAGCGACCCCAGAGCGACCCCAGAGCGAGAGGGCTCGGTGCATGGGAACACAGCCACGGCTGGGGCCCTGGGGCTGGGGGGCAGAGGGTGCTCCAGCCACTAGAAGGAGCGTCAGCAGCCGCGCCTGGTGTGTGGGAGGGCCTGCGGAAGCTGCTGCGCACATCGTGGGTAGTTTTTCAGCTTCGTGGCTCCTGGGCCAGTTTACCCCCAAAGACCCCAGGTCAGCTACTCTTATTTCCAGTCAGCATCCAGAATGCTCCCACCTACAGACCTTGGCATGGACTGTCCTGCCCAGGGTGCCTTCCCTATTCATGTGAACAATCCTCCCGCCCCAGGAAGATGGCTCACGCTGAGCCACATGGATTGATGGCTCCATTTGCTTCTGGGGGGTCGTAGTCATGATTGCTGGGTTCCTAGGGGGCCATAAAGGCAAGGCTAAGCCTCCCCGCAGCTGTCTTCAGTTACCTGTCCCAGGTGTCCAGGCAGGGCTGAGGCTCCATTCTTGACCCTGTGATCGCAAGCTCGTCTCTGGGTAGGTTGGTGCTCGGCGGAGAACGTCGGTGTGTATCACCCTTTCTGGTTCCGGCCTGGGCTCCTGGAGCCACCAGGGTTGCGTTCCTCGAGGCCCCAAGACCTAGCGCATCGCAGCCGTTGGTGCTGGCCGTCTCTAGAGGGGAGAGCAGGGTGCAGCCGGCTCCTCGAAGGCAGCTCCTGGCTCTGGCCCACATCTGTGCCTTGCACATCATTAGGTGTTGTATAAACGCCGGTTGCATTTGAGAAGACATGGTCCCTGCTCTCAAGGAATTTATAATCTCGTTGGGAAAGATAATTATAGAATAGCATGAAACAGACATCAGGGAAGTGCCAAAATGGATTGGGATCAAGGAGAAAGTGTAATATATGGGCTGTCGGGAAGGACAGGGCAGCTGCAGGCTGGGCAAAGAGAGGACAGGTGCCCCCCCCCCCCCCCTAACCTATGATGTCAGACAGGTGACCCCAACTTGCTGGGCCCTCGTTCCCTCTTTTGTGCAGTGGGGCAACAATAGGCAGCTCCCGGGGTTTCTGCAGCAGTGTAAAGGCGGTGTGTCAGAGAAAACTTAACCCGGCCCCGCTGTGCGGACGGGGCTCTAAAAATGCTAATTTGCCATTGTCTCGGAGCCATGATGGACAATATGATGTTTCCCCCCACCCCCTTTCCCTCTAGGGCTGTGGGCCCCACCCCTGGCTGAGCATCCAATCCCCTGGGAACCGTGGAGAAATGCAGGTCCCTGGGCCCCACCCCAGACAGCTGAGTCGGAATCTCCGGTGGTTGTAGCCGGAGGGGTAGCTTTTTATTTTTCTAAACACCCAATTACAACATGGTTGCACCATTCCCCCCCCCCTTTGGAACTCTAGCAAGTTTTTTCCTTTTAAATAGGGAAACCAATTTACAGAATTCAAATATTACTTTAAAAACATTTTTTTTCCCAATGAAGACAACTCACATGCCATAAAACTCACTCTTTTAAGGTATACAAGTTAGTGTTAGTGTATTTACTGTCATCTAGCCATCACTGCTATAATTCCAGAACATTTTCATTACCCCTAAAAGAAAGCTCACACCTGTTAGCCGTCACTCCCCCCCTCCCCTCCGCCTTCACGGTCCTGGAATCCACCAATCAACTTTCCATCTCTAGAGGTGTGCATATTCTTCAAATGCTACCTTTTTCAAATATGTGTATATCTTTTTGTAAATCTGCTTCCTGTCCCTGTGTACGCCCCCACGCCACCCAGCTCCTTTCTCTGGAGGCGACCAGCATTTGTTTATCCTTCCAGAGACAGTGCCCACAAACACACGTGTGGATAGACATTCACGTGTCCTTTCTTTTCGTGAATAGTGGCCTTCCCTTCCCATGTTCCGCACCTTCCTTTTACGCATCCTGGAGATGACAGATATTCTAATATGCTGATATTTCTGTAGATCATTCCACGTTAGTATATGAAGAGCTGTCTTATTCTCAGTAATTATTGCATTACGTTATGTTGAAAGAATATGCTGTAATTTAACAAGTCTTACCAGTGGACACAGGTCATTTCCAACATGATCCTATTCCATTTGTAAAAAAAAACAAAACAGAACAAAAACAAATGGAACTGCACACAAAAAGCATCCTCTTCACCACCCTTCCTCCTTGGGATTTCTCTCCTCACCTGGCCTTCCAGTGTTTTGCTGGGAGTCAGCTGACTACTCTAGGCAACCGTGGGGCCTACAGATAGTGGGAGTGTGTGACCTGTGTCTTCTCTGTCCCTCACCTGGCATCACTGTACCTGTTGGCATGCCTGCTGGTCCTGGCCCCCCACACAAGGCAGGTTTATGCCCAGCCCCAGAATCCTCCCTTCGGCAGGTGAGGCCCCTAATGGGACGTGTTCAAATGCAGGCCAAGGAGAGCCCTCCGGAGACTTGCAGGCTCCAAGATGAACCGGCCAAATAAAATATTCATATCACCCCCCGGGGGCTTGCTCACGCATGCACACACAATGTGGTGACTCGGTGTCTGCTCCATTTTCTCCTCCAGAAGAACAAGAACAAGAAAAAGGGCAAAGATGAGAAGTGTGGCTCTGAGGTGACCACGCCGGAGAACAGCTCCTCCCCGGGGATGATGGACATGCACGGTGAGCTCTCCTGCCCGGCCCTGGGCTGTGGCAGAGCACTCAGCTTTTGTTCTCACCAGCAGGTTTGTTCACATTCCAGGCAAGGGTAGGAGGGCTGGGCAGCACCAGGAGGCCTTCGTGCCCAGGAGAAGCCTCAGCAGAGGAGAAACTTCTCTGCCCAGCACAGCAGGCCAAGAAACGTAAAACAAGAAACAAGCTAGAGACATAAAACAAGACCTTCTCGAGCCCAGTGACACAAACCTTACGGGGGGAGGGGGACGCGACCTTTCAGCCCTGTGTGCGCTCAGGAACTTTTTGTGGGTCTACGATCTTTTCCCCTCCTAGGCCTGACCTACCGTAAAAATGACGCCGTTTTCCATTTCCTATTTCTCTTTGGCTGCTGGGAAACTCCAAACTGGATTTCCGCATCCCGTTAATCACTCTGGGACCCGGGGACCTACGTTCCACAATGACATCCTACCTTCCTTTGCTGTCTTATTTCAAAAGTTACAACCAGTGTCCCCCTGATGGAATCCAGGCTGGAGACCTGCATTAGCCGGTCTGCGGTTTTGACATTGCTCGCGTGAGTTCCCCCTTTACCTCGTTAATGGATAGGAAAGGCACGCATCATAAGGGTATGGCTTCATGATAGGTATACAGGTTCCATACATCCATACAGCCGGCCCAGGTCAAGACGGAAACGTGCCTGGCCATCCCCCTGGTGTCCCCTTCCGGTTGTCCTCATCCCTCCAAGGAACACCGCTGCCCGGCTTCTGACCTGAGAGATTCCAACATGAAATTTATGCAACGTTGAGTTTCCGATGTTTATAAACTAGGAAATCTGCGTGTATGCCGTACTTTGGGAAATCAGACCCAGAAACTCGGGGAGTGTGTTCCCCTCAAGGCAGCTGTAGCCATTCCTACAGGAGACTGAGGTCACTCCAGGGCCACCTGCTTGGGCTGCCACTAGCAGAGCTGGTACCACTTGCTTTTTCCCATCTCTTGATCCCACTTTCAACGTCTTTGTTCTTTTGACCCTGCAGGCCTTTTGTACAGCATGGTGCTATTCGATAAATAAGCACATCGAAAAGGAATGGTGGATGGATCGCGTTTCTGCCCCTCTGGTTCCAGGGCTTTCTTGCTCTGGGGAAGGAGTGCCAGTGAACTTTTGCATTTGCCCAGACTGACCAGTCTGGAAACACAGTCACAAGCTCTGAGGGCAGGGGGGGTCTTGCTTATTGCTGGGCTGGCTTCAGAAAGCACGGAGGGGTTTTACTGACAGCTGACGCGTCAGGAAAGCCCCTCGCTGGCCATACAGTCGCAGTTGAAACATGGAACACAATTGAACCAGGTATTGGAGCTGGGATGTGACCTGCCCCCCTGGCATTGCTTAGATCCCCACTCTCTTGGGATTTGAGAAGGCCCCTGCCTGGCTCACAGGTGAGAGCCTTTTAGGGCAGAGGACAAGATCCCACGTGGGTTCACATCTGGCTCCCTAGGACCCCCCCGCCCCACAACCGTCTGTGTGATCCTGGGCTAGTTCCTTAGCATGTAACCATCAGATCTGTTTTCAGTCTGCCGAGTGGGAATGGTAATGCCCACTTCGTAAGGTCCTTGTGAATATTAAATAAGATAACCCCCTCAAAGCCCTTGGCATGTTAGTAGCTGACGTTTAAGGCTGTCACAGTGTGCCAAAGCGTCTTGCTAAGCCCATTTCATGCCTTACCTCATTCATCCTAAAAACAAGCCCCATTGTGCAGATTAGGAAATGAGGGCTCGGGGAGGTGGCACCCCAGGTTAGGAAGCTCACGGATGCCAGTGCTGGCCTTGAGGTCCTTTGGAGGCAGAATCCAAGTGTGTGGCCACCAGCCCAGGAGCCTCGCTCACGTTCTCAGTAGTATCCTTTCCATCTTAGCACATGTGCGGCTGAGACCCTCCTCCAGCCGCAGGGCACAGATGTGTGCAAAGGCAAGGAAAGATGTGGGCCTGGACAGGATTATCTGCAAGACCCCAGTGGGGCAGCGCGCATCTGCAGCCACCTCTTTCGAGTCTGAGATTCTATCAACATTGACTCGAATGTCAGGGTCACATCGTTACCGGGTGACCAGGTTAGGCTCTGGCAACTAACTCGTTAAACATTAGCACTTGTTGTCATTAATTAACATAACTCTGTGCTGGGACCTGTGGGCTAGGCCTCTGCCTTTTACATACATGCACACACAGCTTGGTGTAGGAAGAAGGTGTAGATTTTCTTAAAAGGCAAATCAGGAGAGTATGCTTTTTTTTTTTTTTTAAGATTTTATTTATTTATTTGAGAGAGAGAGAGAGAATGAGAGATAGAAAGCACGAGAGGGAAGAGGGTCAGAGGGAGAAGCAGACTCCCTGCTGAGCAGGAAGCCCGATGCGGGACTCGATCCCGGGACTCCAGGATCATGACCTGAGCCGAAGGCAGTCGCTTAACCAACTGAGCCACCCAGGCGCCCCCCCCCTTTTTTTTTTTTTTAAAGTCCCAGAATTCACAAGAGGATCTTGTGTGTAACTAGTACACTTAGAGTAAGATGCAGTTTACCTGGCAGGGACCGTGTGACTGCCTGGCACTTCCTTGGCAGGTTGAGTTTGGAGTTGGGTGGAGAAGCTTGAGCAAGGGGTTCTGCCGCTCAGAGCCTCAGTTTCCCCCTCTGGAAACGAGGGAGGTAACAGCACCTACTGGGCAGGTTGTCGGGAGGATGAAACAAGTGGCTGTAAGTGTTTTTGCCCAGGTGTCAGCATGAAGTAGGGCCCAGGATGTGTGGATGTGCTTCTCCGTGTCTCTTCCTTGCTATCTGTTTCACAAAAGTGGCCTTGGTCCCAAGTGCACAGCATGGCCCAGAAAAGCAGTGTGGTGGTAGTTTTCGAAATCACCACTTGGATATCTGCAACCTAACATGATTCTCTGCACGTACGACAGGGTCTAGCGCCAGGGGGTATGTGCCCCCGGACCCCCAGCCCTGCCACTGGCTCAACCATGAACGCAGTGCTCAAATTACTTCTCTTTTTTTCTCTGTATTATGAAAAATTTCATAATTGAGAACAGTAGGAAGACTAGTGTGATGAACTTCACACACCTGTCACCTAGGTTTTCACTCACATGCCATGTTTGCCTCATCTTTTTTTTTTTTTAATGTATTAAGTTTTTTAATTGAAATGCAATTTACATAGAAAAACCACATAGCTCTCGAGTGTTCGGTTCAGGGAATTCTGACAGTCGTAGGCAGCCTGTGCTGAACTGAAGTTTCCCTGCGTTGTGTTTTAAGTCCGTGGCTAAACCTTTCAGCACGTGTCACTAACAACATTTCTATACACCTGCCGTGCTATTTTCACTCCTAACAGAAGTAACTGTTATCCCGTTGTATCTTCTAAATCCCAGACTATATTCTAAACTCAATTCCCCAGTTGTTCCAAAATGTCCCTTACGAGCTGGCACATTCAAAACAGAATCTAAATAATTTTCACATGTCCTTAATTTAGCTGTTAATTCTCTTAAATTTCTTTACAATAATTTTCCCTGCTTCTCTCTCCCTCCCTCCCCCCCTCCCCCCCCCCCCCTCTCCCTCCCTCCCTCTCTCTCTCTCTCTCTCTCTCTCTCTCTCTCTCTCTCTCTCTCTCATTTAATGGTTCTGACTTGAAGAGGCTGGGCCGATTGTGCTGTGGAATATCCTACTTTCCATTTACGTGTTCTCTCCCCCTTTTATTTTGTATCAAGTGGAAGTTGGTCTAGACACGATTAGATCAGTGGGACATTTTTGGTAATGCTGCCTCATGGACCGTGTTTCAGCCTTCGCGTTGCCACGGAGCCAGGTGCACAAATCTGGCTTCTTCACCCAGAATGAGGCCTCAGAGGCCCCCCAAAGACTTGAAATGTGGGAGGCCACCGTGTGTCGCTGGCTGCGCCCACACACAGGATGGAGCCAGAGGGGGACGTTCAGGCAGGCTTACGGAAGCCTTCTCCTTGCAGGACATATGGAACGGCCCCAGGTGGCTCATCTCCAAGGTCTTGAGGGTGGGGAAGTGTCTCCTTCCCTGGGAGAGTGTCCTGTGGGGCTGCCGGCAGAGAGGCTTGGGGAGGCCGAGCCCCCAACCCGCCTTTCCTCAGTAGCTGGGGGATTTCACCCTGTGGTTCTCTTCTCCCCTGTGCAGATGATAACAGCAACCAGAGCTCCATAGCGGATGCCTCCCCGATCAAACAGGAGAACAGCAGTAACTCAAGCCCTGCTCCAGAGCCCAGCTCAGCCGTGCCCGGCGAAGGCACTGACGCTAAGGCAGACGAGACCCAGGCCGATGGGAAGGAGCTCCCTGGGGTGGAAGGTACGTGCCCGCAGGGGCTGGGCCTTTGTGCAGTCGGTTGACAGGTCTCTAGGAGGTCCAGCCACATGCCGACCCCTAGAAGGTCACAGTAGAAGAAGGGTAATGCCTAGATTAGCTCTAGTTTTGGGAAGGTAAGTTCCGTGGAAAACTATAATAAGAAAGAGGAATGGCGAGTCTTGGTGAATTATGGGGAATGTTTCCATTTTAAATAAGGTGGCCAGGGAAGGCCTCACTGAGAAGGTGACATTAGAGCAAATTAGGCTAAAATTAGGTAAGGGAGCAAACCCTTTGGGAAAGGGGGAGAAAAGCACTGTAGGGAGAGGGAATGGGCAGTGCAAAGGCCCTGAGGCAGGAGTGTGCTTAGTGGCTGTGGAAGGGCGGATGAGGGGTTCACAAAGTGAGATGAGGTCAGAAGAGGCAGGACCTTGAGTGTGGGGGGCTCTTAGGCCACTAAACAGACCCTTGCTTCTGTGCCAAGGGAGACAGGAGCCATTGGGACTGAGTGCCATGGTCTGGAGGGTCACTTTGGTTGCTGTGATTGAGAACAGATAGAAGGGCTAAGGCAGTCATCCAGATGGAAGAGGGTGGCGACTGTTGGGACCGGGTGGGAGCAGACGAGGTAGTAAGCGGCAGTCTGGCTGTGGAGGACATACGTGTACGTGGATATGTGTGTGTTGGCTTATCTTTGTCTGTTTTGAGATCTCTGGATTCTTTTTTTTTTTTTAAACATTTTATTTATTTATTTTGATGGAGAGAGAGAGAGACAGCGAGAGAGGGAGCACAAGCAGGGGGAGTGGGAGAGGGAGAAGCAGGCTCCCCGCGGAGCAGGGAGCCCGACGCGGGGCTCGATCCCAGGACCCGGGGATCATGACCTGAGCCGAAGGCAGACGCTTAACGACGGAGCCACCCAGGCGCCCCGAGATCTCTGGATTCTTGTAAAAGAAAGTTTTGAAACATACAGAAAAATAAATAGGGTACTCTCCCATATATGTCAGCTGAATTCGGCGGTTGTTGGTCTGTTTGGCTTTGTCTGTAAATATTTGGGGGGAGGGCATTTGAAGGTAACTTATAAATCTTACAGCATTTCATCCCTGAACACTTCACACATCTCTTAAAAACAAGAATGTTTTCTTACCTGATCACAGGTACCGTCATTACACTTAAGAAGATGGGTCTGTAGTTCTTGCTTGTCTGGTATCTGGTAGTTTGAAGGTCCAAGATGGGGTATGTGTTGACAGGTGGTACCTGGGCTGAGCAGGGACCTGGCATCTGAGGGGATGTCCTGGCCAGCATTTGTGAAGGGAGGAGAGGGGGAAGAGGGCTGGCCCGGGGTGGAGGCCAGGCTTCCCTGTGCTTGGGGAGGGACTGGGTCGGGTCTTCTCGGGAGGAAGGCCTCTCTGTGCTGTGGTATCACTTCGAACCCCTTTCCATTTCCTTTGACACGCTTTCCCACACCTGCGGCCTGTGTGAGGCTGCTTCCTGCCCCCCGAGCACTCAGAGGGGAGCAGTGGGGGGTGGACACCAGGACCGAGAATGAGACCCCCCAGAGGTCACAGACAGACTAGGTCCAGCCTGGGGCGTGTGGATGGGGCCACGGGCCTGGTGCTATTTTTATTTTTAATTTGAATTGGATGTCAGAATTTTAAAATTAAACAATTCACTTAAAAGAAGATTGATTTCCACCTTCTTTTGAGAAAATCAGAAGATTGGGCAATACTGGGTCTGCTTTTCCATGGAGCAGCAACCGGTTAAAGCAGAGATGTGGTTGCCCTTGCAGGGAGGGTGCGTGAGCCTGCATTTGCTAGTCACCACACTCCCCGCCACTCCCTATTGTCTTCCTGACACTGAGGCCCAAGAGTCGTGTCCCCATGTCCCTCCGTGATCACTGTTGCTTTCTTTATTACTCATTTAAAGGAAAAAGTACGTTGTTTTTTTTAACCTATTTCTCTATCAAAAGTGGAAAAGTAGAAGTCTGAGAGGTTGGGAGAATCTGTATTTTTTTGAAGAACAGAAGAATATTCCTTCAGATTTTTTTTTTCCTTACCTGTGTCTGAGTTGAACAGCCCCCATGACTCATTCACGGCACTGCCTGGCCCTTAAAGGGGCTTTTGAGTTTGTGGTCAGTGCTGTGTTAGTAGGAAAAAGGAGCCTAGGGGGCTCAGGAAAGGCTTCCTGCTGCCTGACGTGGGCTCGAAGGCTGAGCAGAGATAGGAGGGAAATGAGCAATGCAAGCAGAAGGGACCAGGGGCAGTGCTTGGGGACATGTGGGGGAAGGGGCGAGCCAGCCAGGCACGAGGGTCTCAGGTGCTCAGTGTGGCACCCCCTGTCCGAGCCGGATGCGGAAGCACTTGTGCCAGGTAGGCCTGTGGGCGGGGCACGGTGGGGGGGGCAGGTGACCCCACACACGGGGAACAATGCCGGCATCAGGACGAAGACTGGACGGCCCCCCAGTCAGAACCTCGAGTGTTCTCCCCACCCCGGGAGGACCTCTGTTGAGTCTAGTGTGGTGGCCCTAGAAGAATCTAGATGAGATTATAACCTCCTTTTTTTAGAATACTTCCCTTAACAATCACCATGGAGATTGTTCCATGTTAGAACGTACAGGTTTGTTCCATTCTCTTTACCAGCTTTGTACTATTCAGTGGTACGAACATGTCATCATTTATTCAAATAGTCCCCACGTTGATAATCATACAGGTTTTTTCCCCACACATGATCCAGCAGGGAGTCTTGTCCTCACATCTTTATGTGAAGGATAGAGGGACTGTGTATTTAGTCAGAGATGCGGGCATTTAAAATTGGGGAAGATCCCACCGTTTTCCTTCAGAGATGTGGTAGGCAAGGCTTGTCAACCTCAGCGTGGCTGGCATTTGGGGCCAGATGCGTCTCGCCTGCGGGGCCATCCTGTGTGGGGTGGCATGTTGAGAGGCCTCCCTGGCTTCTCCCCACAGCGGCCCCCAGCACCGTCCCGCTCCTGTGGCTTTGTGGGCAGTGGGCGGTGGGACCAGGGCAGGATGAACCGTCACGTCTGGGCTGACACTTGCTAGCCGTGTGGCCTTGGGCTGGCAGCGTCCCCTCCTATGAGCCTTTCTGTTTCCTTATTTATAAAGTGAGACAGATGAAAGTTGCCTCCCTCACCCAGTCCCCGAAAGGAGTGGGGTGGAACGGAAGCAAAAGTGCTCACCCAAGCCTGAGCCTGACGTGAGCGAGGGGAGGTCACGCACACCTGCTGGTCCAGGTGTGCACACGTCCTGGCTTCTTTCCCATCCTTTGTGCTTTCTCCCTCATGTCTCCCATGTCTGGGGGCTGTATCTCCTTTCCCTAAAAGCCAGTGAAAGCGCAGTTGCAGACATTGCTTCTTGGGTTGTTGCTTCCGGAATTGGTAACTACAACACCCTGCCCCCGTCCCTCCCCCCCCCCACCACCAAAAGCTTTACCCGTCCAGGCGGACACTACACCAGGGTCCTCTTCTGATGACCCCAGGCCACTGGGCCCACACAGTTGCCCAGCATCGCTCGAGGGAGGGGGGGTGCCTGCCACGGTTGGGGGGAGCCCCCATGGGAAAGGCATGAAGGCCTCCCAGGTGGGTACGTACAGCCTGCGGGATGGGGTGGGTTAGTCACCAGCTGTTGACCTTGCTTTGAACTTGTTTACTGCTGAGTGAGTTCAGGGAATGACATAATGTCCAAACTCACTGGACTAAATTTAGGCCCTAGGAAAATAATTTCCCCTGGGTGAGTTCCAGCACCAGCACTAGGAGAATCAGGCCGCTGCACCGAGCCCTTGCACGCTCTGTGAGCTTTAAGGCCAGTTCCTGCTGAGCTCTCAGGCCGGGCAGGGGGTCAGTGTGACTCTCGGGGTGGCTGGCCATGATTTCTGAACCTCCCTGTCCAGTCTGCAGAGCTCAGTGTGTAGGGCAGAAAGGGGAGGCCAGAGGAGGACAATAACAATTCAGAGTTTGCTAAAGCAAACGTCTGTTACAAACTAGAACATAACATTAACATGGATTTCTTTCCTTTTTAAAAAACTGAGATGAAATTCACCTTTGTCCAGTTCCAAAACATTTCCATCGCCCCCAGAGGAAACTCTGTACCCATAAACTGTCGCTCCCCCCTTCCCCCTCACCCTAGCCCCCGGCAGCTGCCAGTCTGATTTCTGTCTGTATGGATTTACCTGTTCTGGGTGTTTCATATACGTGGCGTGTAATACGTGGCCTTTTGTGTCTGGTTTCTTTCACTCGGGATCATGTTTTCGAGGTTCTTCCACCTGATAGCAAGTGCCATTCCTTCCCTCCTATCTGTGAGTCAGTAATACTTTGCTCTGTGGATTGCGTGGATGCACCACGTTTTGTCATTTGATTCATTTGTTAATTTATACTTGGGCTGTTTCCATCTCTTGGCTGTTAGGAATAGTACTGCCGTGAACATTCATGTACACGTACCAGTTTGAGGACCTATTTGCTCTTCCTTTGGGTCTCTACCTAGTGGTGGAAGAGCGGGATTGTACAGGGATTCCGTGTTTGACTTAACATAGTAGGGGCGCCTGGCTGGATCCGTTGGCCGGTAGAGCGTGTGACTCTTGATCTCAGGGTCGTGAGCTGGAGTCCCGCATTGGGTGTAGAAATTACTTAAATTTTTTTAAAAAGTAAAACAAAATATTAAAGAACTGTCAGGTTGGTGGGGAGTGTGGTCCTATGCCCTGGTAGTTTCTCCCCCCTGGGGTTATTTTGTTACTTGAGTACTTCCCCTGCCCTTTCCCCTGTCCCTTTAAGGCCTCACCAAGACTCCACAGCGTGGCTGTTGTCAACCGGGATGACTTTTAGGGCTCCCAGAGGAAACAAGTGGCAGAGGCATGACGGGAACTCAGGTCTATTTCTAAACCCTGGGTCCTCCCAGGTACCAGGTTGTAGGCAGAGCCCAGCCCTGGAGAGGGCGGACCCCCTGAGCCTCCCCGCAGCAGCCGGAACACCCAAGCTCAGGCCCTGGCAGAGTGGTGGGACTCCGGGTGCTGCCCCCAGGATATCAGGGCTGCTGGTTTGGGGAGGCAGAGTATGTGTTAAAGAGCAGCTCACCTGGGATGGACATGCTGGGAGGACAGCCTCCTTGGCAGAGGTGGGGTCTTCCACCTCCTTCCTGCCCTTCTCCCCAGCCCTCTGCTCCCCACTGGTTTCGGGCCATGGAGTGCTGCCGACTTGCGTGCCTGCTTTAAAACTTAAGCCTGGATATATATATATATATTTTTTTTTTTCTTTTCTGCCTCAGAAACCCCAGAAAGTGAGGCATTCTTGAGTCTTCTAGTGCCCTTTGAAAAAATCAGGGTGACGGATGTTGTTGGGGCCTTGAGTACAAGCCAAGTGGGGCCCTGGGCAAGATGCTGCTCCCACCGTGAGTTCTGTGGCTCGGTGCCCAAAATAACCTCCTCTCCCACAGCCGTACCGCCTCGCCTCATACAGCCGGATACGGCCTGCAACCCCCTTCTGCTAAAGGACTGCGCTGGGGAGGGGAGGAGGGAGACCGATGCATAAGAAGCAGCCCGAATCATTGGCAAAACAGGATTCATAAATAAGTGATTGCTGGATGGAAGCCGTGCAGCCATCTTGTACACTCTTGTATTCAGAGAATTTTTAAAGACATGAAAAATTTTTCCAAAATTCTGTGTGATCTCTATTTGGGGAGAGCAGAGAATTATATGCATGTAGGGGGGGAAAACATCTGGAGAGATGAAAATAAATCCTCTGAAATGTTAGTGGGTTGGTAGTTGTGGGTGGGGTGAGGTAATCAGTGATTCTGACTTTATTTTTTCCCGTATTTTCTGTTTCTGTGCAATCATCAGTCATTGCTCTGATGGTCAGGAAAACACCCACATTATTAAGAGAAAAGTCTACAAAGGGGCAGGTCCCTCGGCCAGCTCCCCAGGCCAGCTCCCCAGGTGGAAAACGCAGGCTCTGGAATGGAAAAGGGAGGAGTCAGCAGCCATGATGGTTGGGGTGCGTTGTGCCCACTAGAGGGCGCCAGGTGCACGCGGCACAAAGCATGTAGCATTCCCTAAGATGTCCTCTTAGGGCACATGGCAGGTAGTGGGTGTGCAGGCAAGGGTTGGAGGCCCCAGGGCCAGCGTGGGGCCTGGCCGCTTCAGACAACCTCATGAAAAACTAAGAGGCTTCCCAAGCGCCCCGGCTCACTGCAGGCCCGACAGACCGCCTGGCCACAAAACTCCCCAGTTCCAGGTATTTTTAGTAATTGGTCCATCTGGCTCCACATCTCACGTGTCTGAAAACAGCTTCTGTCATCTTGCTTTCCCTCAGATGCTTCTGACGAGCAGAATTCGCAGTCTTCAATGGAAAACTCGATGAACAGTTCAGAGAAAGGTGAACGGCAGCCATCTGGAGACGCGGGTCTAGCTGCAGAGATGTCCGCAATCTCTCAGGTACCTCGATCGAGGTCTCAGAGGGGCGGCCAGATCAGCCGGGAGCCCGCTGGGGTGTCGGGGGTACGTTGAAAGGGGTTTTGTTACTTTGTTTTGTGGTTTTCTCCTCGGAAGATTGGCACTTCCCTGCGTTCACTGAGCGGGAGTCGTGAGTGTCCTGGGGCCCAGCCCTCAGGGAGGAGGGTGTAGGAAGAGGAGGCGGCCTTTATCCCAGCCTTGGCTTTGTCACTTTGTTTACTCAGGTCCACAAAAGCCTTGCCTGCTCTAGTGACCCCAAGTCAACTTCCTTTAGCGCGGGGACTGTAAGTCTTCAGAATCCTAAATGCCGGATGAATCATCCTTTGGAATTTTGCAGCTGACCGCACCGCCCCCTTGCTTGGACCCCGTTCTGGGTCATCCCTGTTTGTCAGCATCTGGTCCGAATCAGTGCAGGAGCAGGTGGCCGGTGGCTAGGAACAAACATCCTGGGTTCGAATCCCAGCTCCTTCACTTAGCATAACCGAGCCTCCTTGTCCACAGCTACCGGAATGGGATCACAGAACTGTCTTGGGGCCAGGGCGCAGATGGGATGAGAGAATGTGGCGAACACACTCGGTGTGGAGCTGGACACGGGAATGCCTCAGATGCCATCACTGTGATTTTTCACTGTCAACCCTCTGTGCCCACCTAAGCTGAGTGTGGGGACTCCGAGGTATCAGAACTTGAACTAGTAAAACTACTGTCCAGTACCTCCGGAGGAAGTAGCAACAGAAAGATTGGGAGGGGCCAGGGTGCAGCAGGACTTGGTCTGCGCTTTGCAGAGCTGTAAGCCAGGCCTCCCCCGAGGGAAAGTGCCTTCTGGACTCTAATGTCTATAACCCCTTGGATCTGTAGCCTCCTCCTCCCGCAGAACACACCTCAAATGCCCAAAGACACAAAAGGAGTGTTGACGGGGGATGTGAGCCACAACCTAAGTTTGCCGAAAGGGGACTGGTTCAATTAATCGGGGGTCCTGGATAAGACAGACTGGTACGGAGCTGTTAAAAAGAGTGTGGCTGACCCAGGTACAGACAGACAAGAAAGAAATATCCTCCCAATGTGAAATGAGAAAAGCAAGACCTAGAACCTCAGGCATAGTTGGAGCCCATTAGATTAAAAATCAAAGCTTCCTGAACAGTGTGTAAAACCAGAATGTCTGCTGGGGTCTCCTGGCCTTCTGAACTCAGTGGAGGAAAGGTTAGCTTGAACCTTTGATCCGTACCCTGGGGGCATCTAGTGCTCTTCCTCCCTGCTCCCCCCCCCCCATGTCTGAAAGGTGCAGGGGTCTTCCATCTCACAAGCCCCCCACCTCCACTGCCATTCCTGGGGGATCCAGGCCTGGAATGAGGCCTCTTCCGCTGTTCTCAGGCACACATGGACACATACTCGTCCACAGAGCTCTGAAGTTTGTGAGCAAGGTGGAGGATGCGTTACAATTAAGCAAGCAACTAGACACTGACATTTGGCTGTTCCTGTGTTAAAAAAAAAAAAAAAAAAAAAAAAAGCTTCCCCAACCGCCCGACAAGAGCAGTACTTTGACTCTTGTCCCCTGTTCGGCTGTCCTTAGCTCCTGGCTCCTCTCTTTTGCTCCCTTTTCCCCTTCTCATCCACTCCCAAGCTCACATGCCTTCCTCCCATCCAACTGTTCTGCAGAACCAAAGAACCTTCTCCCCAGGGGGACCCGGCATCCTCTGAAGGCACAGTACCTGCTTTTTCTGGTGTCTGTATCAGGCTTTTACTGCTTACACAGAGGCGGCTCTTCCGGCCTCCCTGCGGTGCCGGCTCTCAGCGTCTGCCACATGAAACTCCCACGCAGCCCACCTCAGGGCCTGGGGGCTCCATTCAACATACGTCGTGCACCCACTGTGGACCGGGTGCTGTGTCAGATACTAGGGACCCAGGGTGAGCCAGAGATGGGGTCCCTCCCTGCCCGCAGGGGGCTCACCATGACACAGGGCATCGCAGGCACGGGCGGATTACAAGGTCACAACATGTGTTGCAGAAGAACCCGAGTTCTTCTTCAGGCAAGGAGACCTGACGGTAGAGCATTCTTTGGACTGGCGTAGGCAGAGAACCGGGCAGTGAGTGGGAATTTGAAGGCTGAGAAACTACGGCCACGAGGGCCTGGAGACAGGAGTGAGCCCGAGGAACAAAAGGGGAAGCCGCAGTGGCTGGGGCCCTAGTGGACAGGGGAGAGAACAGCCGGACGAGGCGCAGGTAGGCCTGCGCTGGGTGCTGGGCCTTCTCGGCCTGGTACGGAATCGGGGTCTTGCTCTGGAGTCGGTGGGAAAGTATCAACGGGCTTTATGTTCTGGGTATGATTGCTGTTTGGGGATTTCTTGGACGGTGTGGAGGGCTGTGTAAGGAGGCCGCAGAGCAGAATGCTGCTTTGTCCGGGCAGGTGAGGGTGCGGGTGCGGACGGTACAAGCACGGCACCGGGTGGAGGTGGCGGACCCTTCCTGGGCCGGACAGAAACCAAGGGTATTTGGAGACGGAGTTGGTGGGACTAATAGGTGGGGTGTGAGGCCGTCAGGGTACCCTCAGCTTGATCCCGAGCAGGTGTGGTGTCATCGACAGACTGGGGGCGGGGGGCGGTCAAGGTGGGTAGTCGTTAGCTGGTCTCGGGCAGTGGGTCAGTTTGGAGATGGCTGAGTGGGAAAGTCAGAGTTGGGGGGGTGAGTGCCGGACCTTTCTGCGCCGTGGGACTTAGGAGTGTGGTCACAACTACGGCTCTTTTCCCCAGAATAACACACATGTGCATTCAGCAAATGCTGAGTATCAGGAGGAGCCCTTGACCACATGGCAAGGTTGGACGAGATCTCTGAGCTTGGAGAGGTCGACGTGGAAGTTGTGCACAAATGACTACCCTGGCGATTAACGACAGACTGGAAGGCTGATAATGGGGAGACCCTCCCTGGCTGGTGTGGGGCAGGGGACAGGGGAGCTTAGAGGTAGAGGCACAGGGGGCAGTGTGCTCGGAAGACCCGGAGGGAAACCACCGTGGTGGGGACAGGCGGGGCCCAGGTGACACGGGGCCGCGGGGTCAGAACTGCGGGTTTGAACCACAGAGGCCGGTCCTCCGTTTCTTCCTGGGTTGACCTTCAGACTCACGGCTGACCTAAACTGCCCTCCTGGTGCGGTAACCTGTGTCCTCTTCTCTTCTCCCCCAAGGATTTGGAAGGAGTGCCACCCTCGAAGAAGATGAAACTGGAGGCCTCGCAACAGAACTCTGAAGAGATGTAGACACTATGTTCAGTCCTGCTGTCCATGTTTCACGGGAGATCCCTCTGCAGGCTGAATCCTAGAACAACTTCACCTGAGCAATTCCTCTCGGGTGCAGACAGGACTACTAACTTTCCAAGTTTACCAAGTGCAAATCCAAGAAAACCCAGAACAGCGTAACTTCTCAGACACTGAAGAACTTTCTGCTGTGAAGCAAAACACTCGAGTGTTGAAGGGACTGTCCTTGGGAAGATGGGGTTGACAGCTCAGGAGTGTCTGCACACTGTCTCTGAAGCCAAGATTACATTTGTGTTGCTGCTGTATTGTTTTGTGTCCCCCCCCCCCAACTTCTGTATTTAACGATATAAGCTATTCGAGGGTGGTACCGATCAGGGAATCGGTTTTCGTCGGGGCTTTTCACTGTTCGCCCGATTCCTCCCGCTTTCTTTTTTTGTGCCTTGTGCCCTTGAGGTGACCTCTGGCATGTTTTCCTGGTTGTTTTGCATCTCCCTTTGCAAAGTGCCCTCAGTTTTGTCCAGGCAGCTGGTGCCACCGTCCTCACACCTCTCTCCTCCCTGACCCGGGACTTCAGCTGGAGCGGAGCAGGCAGGGAGGAGGGGGACCCGAGGCCTCGCAAGGGCAGGACCTCCTTGGCCGCCCGATTTGCAGCTGCAGGGGTGTCGGGCAAGCCCTGGGCCCTGGGCCCCAAGTCCGAGGAGCCTTGGATGTCGGGGCACTGCCGCCAAGGGCTGGCTTCTGGATGTGCTCTCTCGCTTCCTCGGGGCATCTGGGGCCGGCGTTTCGAAGGCCACCGCGGTGGCCCAGACGGACACGCAGAGCCCTTCAATTGCTCTGGCACTTGCACCCTCCCCGCACCACACGGCTTTCTCCCACACCTCCGAAGAGGAAGTGGCTTCTGTGGCTGACTGCAGGATTGTCTCCTTAGGACGGTAAAAGGGCTGAGGAGGCTGGGAGCAGACAGCAGGAAGAGCTGGTGCTGAACTTGCTGTCATGCGATGTTGCCTGGATTTCAAATCCGCAGTAACCTGCTACCCTCTGCCTCCCCCCGCCCCCCCCCCCACCACCACTCGGCAATCCCCCCATCCCCGCCCCGGGGGAGGCAAGATTGCAGAGTGTTCCTGACGCTCAGAGCCAACAGTCTGATGGCCTCTCGCTCCCAGGATGCACTCACAGCCCCCACGGGGGGAGCAGACCCTGAGGATTGGGCCTCAAAGGCCAGAAGCAAGGCACCAAGGAGTGGGATGCTCTACACTCCTCCAGAAAGGGGTGATCGAGTCCTCTCTCCTCGCCCCCGTCCCCTGCCTGTGCCGGGACACCTTCCTCTCACTAAAATGGAGATACCCCCTTGGATGAACTGCCTGATTGTTTGGTTCTGAGGCCTGGTTTGCTCTTAATTCCTAAATGGACTCCTCGGACCTTAACCCTTTTCCTGAGCTTTCTTTACTGCACTGGAGTTCCAACTCCCTTTGAGTTGAGTGAGGGGGTGGGCGGGTTGGGGGAGAGGGTTGTTTTGTTTTGTGGTTTTTTGTTTTGTTTTGTTTTCGTTTTTGTTTTGCTGATTGGTGCATATTCAGGTACCACCTTTGATACCTTTGACGTGTGGATCTCTCTCCTGACCACCATGGAAAGTGTCTGCCAGTTTCTAAGTTTCTGAGGGTGAGGCTCTTTCTTGTTTTTAAGGGAGCCAATCTATTTCCTGCACTTCAAGAAGAATCAAAATGTTCCTGAATTTCAAATACCTCATGCAAAAATGTCTCCTGAAATAAGGGAAAAAAACAAAAAACAAACTTTGAAAATCTTAATGTTGAAGTTCGCAATGCCGAAAGGTTTCTGTCTTAAAAAAAAAAAAGTCCTTATCAATTTTGCCCCTCAGGCAGTCAGCTCTGTGCAGAACTGTGTTCTGCGTTACCTCTCAGCATATCTCAAGGCGGCTTTACCTCCAGATCCTCTAGAGCTAGAGTAACTTTTTTTTCTTTGCAGCAAAACTCCATTTTGATGAAAGATGAATTTGGATATTTATTTCCTTTCTTTTTGGGAAATGAGAGGTTAGAACCAAGACAGCTGAAGGAGAATCACACACATCCACAGAAACGGCACGTCGGCTGGGGGTCCCTCCCCTGCCACCCCGGGGGCCCCTTCCGGTTGCGGTGGCCTCTCTGGACCCAGGCAAAGGGAGTCAACACGGTTGAGGATGAAGACGACATCCGCGACACCGAGGCTGTCATTTGTTTTTCTCTGAAGTGCCTGAAGGTAGGAAGGGGCCCGTGGCCGGGACCGACTGGGCCCCCCCCCCCCCCAGCTGCTGAGGCCACACCAGGCAAAGCACCAGCGGCCCTGTACTCATCACTGGCCAGGAAGGCCTTCCACGCGGGACAGTGAGACTACAAAAATCCAGATGTGCTTCCTTCCCCTACGCAGTCCGCTCCTCGGAGCCACTGTCCCCCACCCACCCTGTGCCCCTCGCCCCCCTCCCATCACAGAATCTAAGACCTTTCAGCCGGCCGAGCCAGGGGCAGGGGGGGTGGGGTGGGGTGGGGGGGTGGCGCTCAGCAAATGCCTTCCGTGGCCACCACATGGCCTAAAGGGCTCCCAGGGCAACCTTGCTCCCCGCCACATGTGAAGTCGGGGGAGCTTCGGCTACACATTCCATGAAGTGCTGGCACTTACACCCGGAACCCGGAAGGCAGTGGGCCCGTTTATAGGGTGGTGGCCTCCCATTACCAACGATGTCATGGTTTGGAATGTTCATTATCGCCAAGGACCCGGTTAGAGGTATAAAGACCTTTTTTTCACCGTTACCTAATTTTTTTTTCCTCTTATGTTTGGGTTTTTTGTTGGTTGTTTTTTTTTTTTTTTTTTTTTTTTGGTGTGTTGTACAGCAGTATAATTTTTCACTTATTTATTCCATCAAGTAGATATGGTTTGTACAATGTACAATGGTTCCATTTCAGAAAATAAAAAAAATTCAAATCATGAACACCATGTGATTTTGTAGCATTATAACAGAGCGTAAATCTGATGGGTGGTGACAAGGTCCTGCACCGGCGGGTCTGGCCTCTCCTGTGTAGCCCTGATTTTGTGTAGGACACTGAGCTCCTTGCAGGCAGGGACTCCCACGGTCACGTTAGCTGCTGTCATGAAGCACCGGCTGGGTACTGTGGGCAGGTGATGTGGGGCCACCCTGTTGAGGTGAGAACACAGCCCTAGAGGCATAGCCAGGCAGAGCCCTCCTGGAAAGGCCACGCCTGCTCCCTGGTCGAGCGTACCAGCTTGCCATGTCCCTGACTTTGGGAGGCTGTGACTCATGGCTGGGATTCCGAAGGGTCAGCCCAGAGGTAGAGTGTAACTTTTTCTTGTCTTAATTAAGTGACTTGTGGCCAGGCCAGAGCCAGAGCCTTCCCAGGGCCCTTTCCCCTCCCAGCAGCGGGGGCGCTTCTCTCTCTCAGCTCAGACTCCCTCTCTAGAGTAGACTAGTTTCTTTTTCTCTGGTCTGTCTCACTGCCTCGACTTCCACCTGAAACCTGACCGTGGCTGAGCCACCTGCAGGAGGGTGGGGGTGAGGGGGTGAGATTATTGTTTTAGCCAGGACTGCCAGGACTCACCACGCTGACCCACCTGGAGGCAGATGTTCTCTCCTTTGTTTTGTCTGCCTCTCCTCCGCACCCCCCTTCCTTTTAAACATGTTCTAGTGTTTTTCCCAGGATTGATTGCTCAGCGAAATAAACTCCTGACGGAACTCCTGATAGAGAAAGTTTAACGTGACAAAACAGAAATCACAGGAGCCTTGTTTGCTCAACCAAAAATATGCTTCAGCTCACACCCTTTGGCTCCCTCCTTTGATGTCTTCCCTGTGGGTCTACATCTCTGTCCTGGATGAAGTTCCTTCCAGACTTGTCTCCCTGGATCCACCGCCTCCAACCCCTCCCCCCCAATTATGTTTCTCATTCTCTCACTCTCTGTGTCTCTCTTGGCTTCTCTGTTGCTTTCAGTTTCCTGTCCGTCTGTGGAGCTGACTTCCGCTCATGCCCATTTATAGAGGAGTGGTCATGCCAATAGGTAGAAATGTAGGCTTTGTGGGTATTCCTGTGAGCATCGTGGGTGTGCTGGGCCCCGGGCAGCAGTGACTCAAGCTTGAGCCTTTCCCTCCAGGCAAAGAAATGAGCCAGTGTGCCAGGATGGCCAACACAGTTTGGAATTAGGGGAGGTGCATTTTGATGAGGAGGTGGCGTCAGGAAGGCTTCTAGGCGGAGGGAGCCCAGGCATGGGGCTAAGAAGCTCGTTTTTCCTTGTTGATGCTAAGGAGAAGGCTGGAGGTTTCTGAGCCAGGACTCTGCTGGACTGGAGATAGTATTTCCAGGGAATGGCATGGATTGGAAAAAGCCAGACTGGAGTTGGGGGCAAAGCAACTAGGGAACCGGGGCAATAGGCCAAGCAGGAGGCCAGGAGTTGGCAAAAGGCCGAGTGCTCCCAGGCAATCAGTACCGCAGCCTGGTGGGTGGAGTCAGGTGGGCTGGGAGAGGCAGGTAGAGAAATTCAGGTCCAGATCTCAGCCCAGACTAAGCCAACAGGGGTCACGGAGGCCCACAGTCAAGACTAAGGAGGGATTGCAGACCTTAAAGGCCAAGTCTAATCATCCCCCTTTCTCTGGGTGGGAAATGCTTTATTTCCCTCCAGAGGCTCATTAATAGACACCTTGCTGTTTGCCGGTTGCATTCCCCTCTCCTGCCAGTAGGGGTCACCCCTGCCCACTCAGTCCCAGGGGCAGCCAGGTGATGCAGGCTGGTACCATCAGCAGGATCCCTCCTGGGGCCACGGCTGGTTCAGGGATGATCACATGGGCCAGCGTGGCCCAGTGAGAGTCAGCCCTGGGATTTCTGTGGGAACTGCTGGGAAAGAGGCCCACCAAAGTATTCACTAGGAAATTCCCTAGAGGGCCACCTTTGCAGCAACGTTGGGAGAGTCCTGCTTGAGAATGAAGTGGACACAAGAACGAGTTGAAAGACAGGGAGTTCGAGCTTCCTGAGAGCTGCATGTGAACACTGGGCCCCAGCCGGCCCTGAAGCCAGCCCTCCTGAACTTCTCAATCCTGTGAGTCAGTAAATGCCCTCGATGATTTAGGTCTGTTTTCCCTGGGTCTTTTTCCCACGTGAGCCCCCAGTCGTCTGTCCCAGGGCTTGGAGTGTCTCCTGGATGCATCCAGAAGGAGGGGTGGTTGCCCATATGGTAGCTCTGACTCCTGACTGGGAGTCATTCTCTTGGAGAGAGTGTCTCTCTCTCCCTTCCCAACTTCCCCCTTTTAATGCTCCCATGTGACAAGGACTTAGATGACTCAGAGTTGAGAAAAGGGATATAAACAAGACAACATGGACCCATTTTGGACTTCTGAAACAGCTACTTCTATCATCCTCAGAGATGCAGCACTTCGGAGCTGTGTCACCTCAGGTAAGAGTCTTAACCTCCCTGGGCCCCAGTTTCCTCATCTATAACGTGGGAAGAATAATAGTGCCTACTCGGGTTGTTGCAAGGATTAAATGAATTAATACACTCGAAGTGCTTGGGACAGGTCCTGGCATGTAGTAAATCTCAATAACTTACCTGCTACTGTTACTACCATTATAGTTACTATCTTCAATCACGTCTAGACTCCAGAAGTCCCACTCCTAGAGAATGAGGCACAGGGAAAGGCAAGAATTGTCCACCCCCCAGCTGCTTTGGGCTTGCCTTCTGAGTTATATTTGACTCTCTGAAGACCGGCCTCTGCCCCAAATGATTGACCCTGGGCTAATCCACCCAGAGTGATCGGTAGCCTGAATGATGCCTTGTGGGATGAGTAGAAGCCTGCCAGGAAACAGGAAGAAGGGAAGACAACAGGGATGTTGTACTCACCGGCTGTTCAGTAAAGCAGGCCCGAGTGGGGAGATTTGGGGCCCCAGGTTTCAGAGGAACAGCCCACTGGGGACGCAGTTTTCCAGCCTTTCTTCTTCATCACTGTTCTTCCTCCACAGGCTCTTGAGAGAAAAGCCTCTGGGGTGCCAGGACCAGGATGTGGCGCCGGGCTTGTGGGTCCTGACTCCCTCCAGGATACCCCTGGGACACTGGCGCCCATGGATGCACTGGGTGACTTGGGGCCAATGGCTTTCTCTCTTCAGACCTTGGCAGAAATAACAGTTTGCTTTGCACCAAAGAATCTCAAGAGACTCTTAATTCCTACTCTTTTCTCCCTCACGGCTCCCTCGGTTATGAGCTCATTTGACCTCTGTGCCCCCTGGGATGGTAGTTTAGAGCAGAGGCCAGCCTCCCCATTATACAGATAGGAAGGGACTGAAGAGGGACTCAGTGAAGGAGGCTTTGGAATTCAGCCTTTCACTAGATGAGGGGTCAGCAGATCCAGCCCACTGCCTGTTCTTGTAAATAAAGTATTATTGGAACACATCCATGCTTGTTCATTTACATATCATCCCTAGATGTCTTCACGATACAACAGCAAAGGTGAAGCGTTGCTTCAGAGGCTGTATGGTTTACAGAGTCAAAAATATTTAATATCTAGCCCTTTACAGAAAAAGTTTGCCAACCCCTGCAGTTGACCACACTTTCCCATGGAAACACTGTGTAGATG